ACAAATAAAAAATTTTAATGTTAGATCATGCATGATAGTGACTAGCTTCGGTTCGTATTATCCAATACTTCACGCATTTAATTAGAATTCTTCAACTAATTCATAAAAACTGTTCCATTTCGCACACTTATTTGTTTCTATTATCTCTGCGCACACACTTTGGCCTTTAACTCAAGTACTATTCAGATGGTAATCTAAGTTGACATTGGCGAGCGTTATTACAATAAAATAAAAAAAAGGAAAAAAAAGTGCGGAAGAGAAAGTTTTTTTTTCCAATGTTACTTATACATTCTTCCTCCTCAATCAGTTCGTGGGTAGGTAACAACAAAGACAAGGTACACGATCCTCAAGGCTGTAAGGTCGTGGGATAGAGACCATCCTCAATCAACTTCAAAAAGAATTCCGTCAAAGAATTGCCAAAACGAAGGTACTAAATCAGTGGGAAAAATGAGGTAACGATTAATGGAGAACACCCTATTCCACAGAAATGAGACCGCGTTCTTCTATTTCCTTTGCTAAATGAGTTAATTGCACTTTCTGCCTAATGATATTTTGGATGGAATTTTTTTTTTTACTCTTTATTTTAAATGATCCTTTAATGTAAGGTTTCTGATACAATTTAAAAGCTTTTAGTCGAGTAAAAAAAATCTTAATGGCGATCTGTCGAATCTTTTCAATTTTCTTGCAAAAATATACGAGCAATTACTTATTTTACCTGAATATCAAAGTGAATAGATCTGTTTCATCAGCGTAGGGGTTAGTTAGAATTTGAATAAAATTGTCAAAATATCGCAAAATTTCTTATTAAAAAACTTACAGTTTGAGTATGGAATTGATGCAAAATTGAAAAGAATGAAACATTATTTTATATAATAAGTTATTTCACGAATGTAGGTATTAAATTTAGTTTTGATTTAGATAGTATAATTTTATTTTAAAATTAATAGTCATAGAATAATGAACACATTTACTACAAAATGGAATTAAGTATGCTTTAAATAAAGAGTTTTTTTAAATTTTAATTCACGGAAGAGATTTGGATATTTTTAAATATTTGGATATTTTTTATTGGAACTTAGATTCTTAGCTCTGGAACAGAGAATTGTCGAAAGTTTTGTTGAATCAATTAGTTTGAATACATAAATAAATAAATGGAATACATGAATACATAAATGGAATTTATGTATTTAGCATAGTTTGAACATAAATGGAATTTGCGATTGCTAATAAGTGTTGATATTATATCATTTCCTTGTTAAAAATAACCAATAAGTATAAAACTATTTCTGCAAAAACAAGTTTCATTAAAATGTATACGTATACGTCCTAAAAATTCATAAAAACCCGACTTTTAACGAAACAGGGAAAGGATGTTGATGAATGCATAGATTCTTCCATTATAGAACTACATTCCTACACCGACGATAAAACAACATAATTATACTATATTGTTTAAAGAACACAAACAACTCTACAATAATTTAGTTCTTTTTAAAATCACTTTATCAATTTACATGCATATTATTAATGAGAAAGACCGCTTTGCTTAATTTTCGGTAATTTAAACAGTTCTATACACGATGGCAAAATTAAGTTTTAAGGGTGACACACGCAAAATCTATTTTCATTTTCATAACTTTTATGCTGTCAATGTTCTATGTAGTTTCGGTGAGGAGAGCTACTCTTTTCTATGTATAAAACTCATTTTATTTTTTATTGTTTAAGTATGTTTGATCCTATGTTGGAGACTAAAATTGCTAATTAAAGCTAAATAATGATTAGTGTTGTAATTGTTTTCTGCTTGATAAGCCTATAAGCATGCGATTGTCTTATAAAGGATTTTCTGTCAAAATTTTGAAGTCAGGTTTGAATTAAATTCTAGAGTACATTTTTTGCAATAGCGTGAAGGTTAGTCGCGTTGGGTCAAGGGATAAAGCGTTCGTCTCCCAATGAGGTAACCAGGGTTCGAAGTTTAGCTGTGGCTGGCTGATACGAATTCTGTTCCCGGTTTGCACCGACCATAATATCCTCAGTGGTAGATGGATCCAAGATTATAATCCTCTTGCAGTTGGGCTAACCACGGGAGGTTTCCATGGTTTTCCTTTCTATGTAACGCTAATGCGAGTTGCTCCATCAAAAATATTCAACCGTTCAAGTTCTACACTGTGAACGAAATTTCACAGAATTTTCTTTACAACGGGCAAGTTTCTAACTATGTAGGTAAGTTACCAATATTAAGATTGGAAAAAGCAATGTTTGCATGCAGAATGCACTTGTTTTCTACGACCAAAGATGAGTTGGATGCAACTCTCAAATAATCCAAGCTCCAAATAATTTATTAACATATTATTGTGTAAAATATACTTTACAAAGAATGATGAGTGCAAGCCATGTAATCTGAATAATTATACGTAAATCTGAATACAAAATAACTTCATTAGGAATTTGATTTAATTTATAATTAGATTACCAATTATAATTATTTATTCATTTTGTACATTACATTACTTTTGGAATAAATTATGTAAAAAAAAGATTTTGTAGTTTTTGAGTGTACTAAAATTGCAAGTCTTCGCGGTGATTATCATAATAACTTATTTAAAAATTGTTTTGCATAGAAATTGGAACATTTTATGAAAAAAATCTTTTCTTAAATCTATACATATGATATAATATAAAATATAGAAGCAATATATTCGGTTTTGACGTTTTAGATATGCAGAAAATAAAATTACAGATTAAACAAGATTTGAAAGTGTTATACTGGTGACAATGTTACTGCGTAAATACGAGTTGAACAATGAAAGTACCTACAAAGATTTTAACTTAATCGGTTGACAAGAAACCAAGTATATTATACTAAGAACTAATTTTATAATTCCTTTAAATTTAGGTATTATAATTTAAAAAGTCAAATTACAATTTAGTTACTTTTTTATTAAATGTATAAACTCTGGTTTTATATTTCACCGTTATTGAATGTCAATTCAAATTTCTCTCTGAATATTTGTTACATTTATCTTCAAGAGCATAAAAAATTAGGTTATGCAACTAATTTCTGTAAGCAATTACAGAAATTAAATTATTACCTTGTCAGTTGTACTTGTTCCAAACCATTTTTTTACCGAAATAAATCATACCTTAATTCAAGATTTAAAGGGCATAAATAAGAAATAATTATTTCAATACAAAAAAGAAAAAGAAAAAATATTTAATTTGGTAAATTTTTTTCTTTCTTGAAATCGTAAACTGATACGATAAATTTCAACAAAATGTAGTAGCTATTAGATAACTCTAGCTAAATTCATAAAAATTATATTGAATCTTTAACGTACAATGAATAATTAAAAAATAATTTAAAGATATAATGTAAACATTTATTTGATTACCTACGAATTAATATCTTAAATGTTTCTTGAAACTGCAGCAAAATATCGGCTATAGGATTTCTTTACCACAATGATTTTCCTATAAGTTTTCGTCACTGCTGTATTTCTGCTAAACTTCGTATCAAGTAAGCTTGGCCATCTCGATATTTTTATTAAAGAAAAACGTAGCTCCATATTGTCACTTTCTCATATTTATCACAATTCAATTGCAACTAAAAAGTTCGTTTTTTGATTATGTTATGTAAGAAACAAATAAATTTAAAAATAGAACACAAAATTTCGCAGTTAGATAAACTAGCAGTAAACGGTAATTTCTCGTGGGCAAACGATTTTTTTTTTGTTTATTTACAGACAAAATGGTTTAAACATAATCGAAAAATGCATTGAAGAATAATTTATATGATAATATTAAATTAAACTTATTTTATTTATGATAAAATATGAATATAATTTGTATTGCAATAAAACTGCAAGAGAATTCTAACCGAAATAAGTTTTTAGAAATGAAAATAATTGGGTATAATATTAAAAAAACACAACTACTTCCACTTAGTAGGAATAACATTTACCATGACGCAATGCTAAATTCTATGCCACTATCCACATAAATGCCACTATCCACATAAATCAATTATTAATGAAAAATCGAATATCAATTACTTTTCTTTATAATGCAATAAAATCTGGCGAGCAGCTATTTAAACGATTAAACACTTCGTTTGTTTATTTGTGGCTTGAAGTTAGGCTCGCAGAAAATGGCGTTCATGGGTTAAATTTGGTAGGAATAACACAACCTGTGACGTAGGCTATAGTATACCCAATTATCCTGAGAAATTTTTTGAAATGCAAACGATAATATATAGTGAATACTCATTTTGTTAGAGTAGAAAAATGGTTATATTATTTCTCTTTTCTGTACTGTAAACTATGTTCGCTTTCAAATCAATCGTAATTTCAAATGACTTTTATTTTCTCATGATCAACAAAGTATTTTGGTGTATCATACTTATTAACAATCATTTAATCGTTATCATTGAGGCGCAAACTATAAATTTAAAAATTAAATTTAGAAACTCTAAAGTAAATCAAAACTTTTTCTACTCCAAAATATTTCATGCATTATTATTCTAATTAAATTATCGTAAGTAGCTTTTGCTGACTTTTATTTTCTTATGAACAATAAAATATTTTGGCGTATCATGCTCATTAGCTACCACTTTACATTTTATATAGTAAGTAGAATTATATTGAGTATATTAAAAAAATGCAAACAGCAAATTAAATTCGCAAAACATTTTCGTCTCGAATAGTAAAAAAAATATTTCATTTATTATTATTATTATTCATTTATTATTCCAATTAAATTATACGCAATGGTCAAAGCTAATAAATCAATGCTGATTTTCAAATCCTCCTTTAGAACAAAATAGGTCACTCTTATAATAAACTGCTTCTAAATTCAAACACAGCTATGCAAAGCGTATTTTATTCGCCATTTTTTAAGCTAATAAAAAATGGCGGAAGGAACACTCTCTAATTAGATTTCAGGCAACTTATCCACCTGTCTTATTACAAAATATACCGTTTTCATGTCCACATTTGGCGCATCTGCGAAGTGACCCTTTAACATTACCTCCGACCTTACAAACCAGTCTTCTTCACTTGTTCGAAAGAAAAACTTTAACTTTCTTAGACGAAGTTTCATCTTCCGACATCATTATCGATTCGACTTGAATACAAAGAGGATCCCTTTGCCGCTTATTCGAAAAAGAATGAATTTGGCGGTGACTACTGGTGTTTTGTTCTTGGTTATAATTTCTTTTGCCTCACCTGGTAAGTGTTATTTATTGTTCTTCTGCTCTTTTTACAGAAAAACAGGGCAAATCGTAAATCGATTTTAAATTTTGATGAGAGAATCGACTTTAGAATTTTGTGTTAAATTGGTATTATTATAATTGAAAAGCTAAGTGTTATAAAATAATTAGTGATATTTTAAAGCATTCAAAAATTTATGGGTTTACAATTAAGTCATGATGTTAAATACAAGTAAAACAATGTTTTGATCTGAAACAATGCAATGGCGAACATAGGTGTTTAGATATCCGGAGAAAATTCGTCAGTTAGGTCCCCTGAGAAGAGAAATACAATCACTGCTAGAAATAATAATAATAAAAATTTCTGAATCCCATTTCATATACGTAGAAATTATTCTACGTTAAATGATTTATGACTTATTATTCTTATATATTTTTCGTTGATGCTGAGGATATTTAAATTGTAATGTTCTAATTTCCTGTTTAAATTTGTTTGAAAATCATATTTTATACTTTGTAAAATAGTTTACTTCAGCCAAGTATTTTCCTGTTAAAACAATTAAATTTAATAATAAAAATAGTTATGGTTTTAAAGTTTTTGTGTCATTAATCAACAGTAGGATGTCCCACCCCCTTGGATGGATGCTTAGGGCCTTAGATCCTTCGCCTCCTTCTTGGCATGCTACTGAACCCATATAGAACCATGAAATAGTCTTAAGCCAAGATAAGGCTATGTTATGGTTTTAAGAGATGTTAGAGCATGTAAGAGATTTAAGATCATGTCATGGATTTAAACAAGGCATGAGACATAAATTCATGATCTAAACATGAAACTATGTTGTGAGAGAAGACAGTAACGTATTTGATTTTTTTTTTTCAATTAAGCAATGTGTAATAAAAAAATATCCTTTATAAACGGCTATATGATAGTTTTATACTTTCTAAACAGGTTTTTCCTCAAATATATTAAATTATGATTTAAAATATTTTCCAATCAAGCTTGTTAATTGAGATATGAGGCGTTATTCCATAATATGAGGCGTTAGTTCCATAATGGTGTCTTTAATTCAGATCAGGGATTCTGCTTCTTCCATGTTCTATGGAGGATTATATGAATGCTATTTATTACTTAAATAACTAACTAATATTTTTTATGTCATTCCATTCATTGAAATTTGTTTTATTGGGCCTAATTACGAAATTTAAGTTTTGAGTTTTTATTTTATTAGAATTCTTTTTCAGTGTGAAGAGAGAACCCTTACATGCAAATTCTCTATATAATTTTTTATTTTATCAAAAGTAGGTTAGTATTAGTTGACAAATTCAAAAAATTATTGGATTAAAATATGAAGAAAAAGACATCTTTATATTTATATTTTGATGTATTTTATTATTTGATATAGTGACATTCTGAAAAACTGAACTGAAAGACCCATGAAAAAATTGCAAAATTTATATACAATAAATATTTTTTTTAAAAAGTAAGAAAAAATAAGAAATATAATTTTCAAAAGATAAAAAAAATTGTTTACACATAATATTTTTAGGCATTTTAACACAAAACGAAAGGAAACTATTTTGAAGGTCTTGACTAAGAGCCCAAAAAGAATGAAGTAGAAAACTCCTTAAGTTCTAGAAATCGGAATTATTCGTTTCTTATATCTCCGAAATAATTTTTTTCTTTTTGGATTTTAAACGTGTTTTTAATTTTTTTTTAAAATTTTTGACTCCGATTGCTTTTAAATTTATTACAATTATTATTCTTATAAATAAATAAAGCTATTTAACAGATAAATATTGGCCCAATCAAAATATTTCATAAAGAATAAACTATGATTTTCAAACAAGTTTAATAGTGAAGTTTTTGGTCAATTGAAATTAAAACTCCTTTGGAATAATATATTTTTTTAACATAGATGAATTTCCGCTTATAATTACATAAAAGTGCATCTTAAATATGCGTTTGGCTTTTTTTATTACTACATATCTTTTCAATAAATTTATATTTTTAAAATGAAATCGCTTATTTTCTATTTTACATCCTTCAGTAATTTCACGATACTTTTCAAGGGCATCCACACACCACTGCCATCTTATTGATGTTAATTTTCAATTTTCAGTGTGAATATACATAGAATTTTAAAAATTGTGTGGATTTATTATTTTATTTTCTGTGAGAGATAAGTATTTTCTGTATAAAAAAATTTACTCCTACTGAATGAGGCTTTTGGTTTTTCTAAAAATCGAAATTGACGAATAATACCGTAAGGATTAATGTTAAGATCTTTTTTAAAAATATTTTTGACAGTTATATCGCTAAATTAATTTTATGAAATACATTGTTTTTTCATATCTATATAATGTGTGGCGTCATACAAATAACTGAAACTAATTAATTCTCTGTGTTTTTAGAGATTAGGATAAAACAACGTAAAGAAGTGTTTAGTAAACAAAAACAAAAAGTAGGCCAATCCGCACTTTATAAACTAGAATCACAAAAAAATTTAAGATCATCAAAAATAACTTTTTTTGCATAGATACAAATAGCAGCATAACTGTTAAGAAATGTAGAGCTCAATAAGGTTGGTTTTAAATAACGGAACAAGTTATTTTTAAACGATATCGACGAAAAGTATTTTTAAAATTCGATTCGCCCAAAGATATCATAAAATACACATAAAAAACGCTGTACGGCCAAAATCTTACGTTATGGTATTTGTTGAGCTAAATTACTCATTCAAATTGCGTTGTTATCTTAAAGGGAAAAAACTCTTTTCGCAATAAATAACACGTTTTAGTTTCTGAAGTCAAAAAGTCCAAATTCTAGAAAACTATTATCTCCTAGAAATTGCCTTTTACTAGTTCTTTGCATTATAGCCGTCCTTGTTGCCAACAGTATTTTCCATATTGCATTCTAAAATAATTTTTTTTCTCCTCACATACGACAAAATATTTGTTCTGCAAAATTGGAAACAAATATTTCGAAATCCTTTATATCTACGACCTCGGGCATATTAAGTAGTTTTCTTTGGTAACTCATTATACGCTTTTCACAGGAAAACATCGTGATTTATGGATCGCCCAACTGCTTGGCCTCGTAATTGTTGTTAGTTCTGTAATTCAACATTGGTCTACACCTGCAATCACATAGAATTGTTTATTCTTGGCGGCGAGCAGTTTGTAAAATCATTAGCCTTTATAATTTGTTGACTAGAGGAACTTACGGTATTTCACGGTTTAAGACGCAGATTACTTACTAGTAGCTTTTTGAGAGAACTCTATACCACGGGAGAAACCATTCACAGTAAATTCTCTTTTCTTAAAAAGAAAAACACGATAAGATAACAATGACAAAAACACTAATTAAACTTATTATTTCTCAAGCGATAACTTATTTTTTTAGCTCAATGAGCTAATTTTGCTTCAATTTTAAAATTTCAAATACGTTTAACTTAGGTACTATTTTATATCATACAGCTACGGCTGATATGAAGGTAATTATAGTATATTCATTAATTTTTGCGTAAATTAATTGAAATTTAAAACATAATTCAATTAAAACTAAAAACATTATCCAATATAGTGAGCTTTCAGAAAAGGCTCCTCTGTAGCACGGTAAAACATCCATGCGCATTTTTTAACCATCAATTATACACAAAACTCAGAAGCTCTTTAAAAACTAAAGTTAAAATCATAGATCTTTTGAGAAGCTACGATTGACTACGTAACTTCGTTTAAAATAATATCTACCTGCTCATGCAATAATGTTTGCGAGTTTTTTTTATTGAGAGAAAATAAAAAAAATAGACACAAAACTTTATTGATCTATGGATAAACTTAAGTCCCTTAATTAAGCTGTGATTGCAAAAAAATTAAAAACTTCATAAATTTAATAAATTAGCATAAAATATTATCTATAATTGGGTATAATATAAAAAAAACACAACTACTTCCACTTAGTAGGAATAACATTTACCATGACGCAATGCTAAATTCTATGCCACTATCCACATAAATGCCACTATCTACATAAATCAATTATTAATCAAAAATCGAATATCAATTACTTTTCTTTATAATGCAATAAAATCTGGCGAGCAGCTATTTAAACGATCAAACACTTCGTTTGTTTATTTGTTACTTGAAGTTAGGCTCGCAGAAAATGCCGTTCATGGGTTAAATTTAGTAGGAATAACACAACCTGTGACGTAGGCTATAGTATACCCAATTGTATAAAACAACTGCATGCGCATTTTTTATACTATTTCAGTTGGAGTAGGAGTGTAAGGTTTCTGAAAATTTGGAGTTGGAGGTTGATGCTTTGAAGGCTAAATTCGCAAAGTTATGATCAATAGTTTAAATAAACCTCGGAAAAGGCATATTTTTTATTGAGTGAACATAAAAAATGAGTACAAGATTTCGCTGATTTATGGATACTATTAAGTCCCCAAACCAAATTGTAATTGTAAAATTTATGAAATTTTTTTCTTCTACTTTAAAGTTATAAGTAACTATAAATAAAGAAAAGGAAAGATTCCAAAACAATGGCAATTTCTCCACCTGATTTATTATTTCTATATTCAGTTCGGAAACTTCTACTTATTTTGAGCGAGAAATATTAACGATAACAGTAAAAGTCTATCTGACCTTTCTTTTTTATCACCATGACATAAGAAACGGAAATGTCATATCTTCTTTAAAATTCTTTGCTAACAATACAGTTTATGATAATATGGCAAGCTCAACAATATATCCGAGAGAATAAGAGCTTCTTAATGACATTAAAGTTACATTTATTAAGAGTAAATGTATGTTAACAACAGTCAGAGATTTTTTAAAAGATATCAAAGTCTATTCTTTCAAGCAAATAACAGAAATGAGATATGATAGCGATTATAATCAACAATCGAACATTATGCGAATACCGCATAGGATTTATTATATGACCTATAATCTCAGTTGCTAAATGACACGATGACGCACATCAAATATTCTATAATTGTTCATAATATACAATAA